AGTAAATTAAGCTGTCTGTGTGAGGCTGGCGATTAGTGCTGGAAACTAGGTGTTTTGACAAACTGAAAGAGGTAAGGAAATAAGCCGTTTTTGGCTTTGGAGGAGAATAAACGTTTGGAGAACCAAGACAGAGGGTCTTTTTTAGCCTTAAAAAGCCTACAAAAATACCTCTTTTTCCCTTTCTTCTTTATCGAAGTATGTGGAAAAGGAAAAAAAAAATAGGTCTCCCAACAAAGGAGGAGTTTGTTTTTGGTTAGAAGGAGGTGTGAGGACTTCCATTTTGTGCCTAATTCCTTGAGGACAAGCCAGAAAAGGCCCAGCTGTTGTGACCAGCAAAACACCAAACTGTCACTCTTCCAAATAGTCTAGAAAATGGGCACTTTTAAACGTGAAAATTAGCATTAGCACTGCCTTCCTCTCATCAGTCTTCTCACCCGATATCTGACACAAATACGGGATATCAAGACCATGTATCTGGGTTACTGTATTTCTCCATCAAGAACAATGAATTATTTTATATCCTTATTCTTATTGATAGTCTTGTGTGTTAATTATGGAACACTTCCGGCCGACAAGAAGTATTTATTTCCAAGACATTCGTCTGCAAATCTTTCTGAATCACTGGCCGCTGTCATTTTGTGTTTCTAACTCACTTTCCATCCTGATTACAATAGCATGTTGGATTCAGGTGGGTCATAAAACGTAGAATGTTGGCTGTGGGTTGGTGGCCCAAAGTGTCTTTTGTAAAAAGAAACGTCTTCATGAGGGAAGCACAATATCAGCTCTGGAGGTCCAGAAGGCTTCACCTTTTCCTCCAGCTGAGCCTTGAACTTCTTAATGATAAAGTCATTTCAATCAGACCATGAATTTCTTTTAAGCGGCCTCGGTTATCAGCAACCACTAAAGGCAGGGAACCAGGGCAGTTTGATTAATTAGCCAGGTTGATGCCTTTTCTTGTTCTTTAGAAGCACGGGACTTAAGCAGATCTATGTAGAAACAAAATGTGCCAGTGTTGTCAATACGCTTGGGCAGAAGTATGAAGAGTGAAGTGTTGTGTTGCTGCACCTCGCTCCTCCAGCGCAACTTTCACCAGGGTTACTCAGCTTACGTTGAAAAGGATTCCCTTCCACCGAGGTCAGCAGTTCGAAGGCACCATCTAGACATGAGAACCTACCCTTGTAAATACCCTTCTGCACTCTAATCCTTGGTCGCAATCCGCGACGCTTATTTTCCGCTGTGCCACCTGTTCTCCTGATTCAGTGCAGAGTGTGCAGAATAGGAGCAGCTTCATCCAGGAGGTAAAAAACGGCAGTGTTGATTTTTTTTTTCATGCATTGTATTCTCCTCATTTTAACAGGCACAGGCCGAATATGTATTTGGAAATCTGTTGTGATCACTCCTAGGACTTTGCCAGCATGAACTGTTATTCTTAGGGATTGCATAACAGCATCTGAAATATTAGCAATTAGGGCAAGGGATTAAGATAGAGCTCAGCGTCTGAAAGTGAGAACCAGTTCTGTGAGGCAGTGCATAATTTTGATGGCTAGAGCATCCCGTTGTGGACATTTAAAGTACTGCAGTCAGACCAGATAATTTCCTGAGGGCTCTCCTGGTGAGTCATTAATTTGTCTCCCTCTTGATAGCAATTTTCTGTATCTCTATATAGGCAGGTCTTGCTGTTGTACGTTCCTGTAGCTTTAAACATCAGGATGTGCAGTGTAACATGACGTGTTCCAACATAAAAATAGCTTTTTGACTTGTTTTGTTGTTACATCATTATTCCACTGAGAAATTTGAAAAAAATCCCACCTTTTATGGGTACCAAACTGGAATTTATATTGCTGCAATTTTGGCAAGATTAGACATATATCTATGCATAAAGTGGACATTATATTTACATATATAATAACATGTGTATTGAGTAAAGACGTAACACCATCTTTAAAACAGCCACATCAGAATTGCACTGCAGTTTCTAAAATTATTGGACTTACTGTGAACATATTTTCTGGCATTGGCCAAACAGTGATGTCAGAGTTCCAAGGCTGTTGCCGAATGTAATCCTGACTTCCACTTCACAAAAATCAGAGCTGTTTGCTGTTCTTGAAAAATGGCATTTGTGAAACCAGCTCAACGCCGACTCAGATAAACAAGAGTCTGAGGTCAAAAGCAGCTGACGCATTTAACCTCACGATGAGGCAAGCTTCACATAATTGCTTTCTAATTGTCCTAGTTGGCACTTTTTTGTTAAAACATGTTTGGATTTTCATTAACCATCTTGGCAGGCACATGGTTGTAAACTGCTTTGTTTTCACACTTAGGATTTCCATGAACAGCATGATAGAAAGGGTTTGTTGCACAGCTGAAAAATCCACACTTAAGGTACATGTTTATCCATAACATCACAGTAGAGATCATTTTAAAACTACGATTTCTCACCAGAACAAATAGACTGAAAAGATAACTGTGTTAACAAGGCATTTTTTATGCAAAATATTTTTCTGTTGTGAAATCTAATGACACCGTGGCATACATTTAGCTGTTAAAAACACATTTGCGGAATACCAGTTATGCACACCTATATTCTAAAAGCAACTCTGCAATAAGGGTCTGAATATTGATACTTTGGACAAATGGATTAAAAAATTTATTTTATAATATATTTTTTTTAATAATTAAAATGCATCTTTACAATAGTCACCAAACAGAAACATTGTATTTTGACACTACATCCCATCCCCAAACCTCATCTCACATTTTCATGCAGTTGCAGTAATGTAGCTATAAGCAAAGCATATCTCCAAGCATATTCACTCAGTGAATTCCAGCAGGTCTTGAACACGGCTGCTGTTATACTAAGCAAAGTCTTCTGCAGAAGAGGACAGATTTACTAGAAGTCTCTCCGTGTTACGAGTCTTGACTTGGCTGTTTTCACCATTGTAATAAAACAGCTTATTTCCAGAATAACACAGCAAAGGCACGTAAAATAAAGGAAAGGATAGAATAAAAGTCCCATTTGCAAAAAAATAAATAACGTTCTTCAGAAAAAAACATTGTAAAAGGAGTTCTGATTATTATAGAGCTCTGTTAAAAGGATGCCACATATAGATAGAAACTCTCCTTAGCTGTTTGTTTGCATGAATCATGGGCTGAACAAGTCTTTCAAGGCTGCACCTGGAATGGGACATCCAACACCAAATAACAGGACAGCCTCAATTAAATTTAACAAGACTCAAAGCCATAAGATTCACCTTCAGCACTGACAGGACTAGGAAGAAGACAAGAAAGGTGCCACATGAGTGGTATAATACACTCAAATACTCAATCATATGAGTAGGACGCAGTAATAATTGTCTAATAATCGCAAGATCTGCGCCAGCACTGGAAGGGAGACGATTGTGCTTTGTCATATAGCGCCTGCTATGTTCTGCACTGCAGCAGCTGAATCACTGTGCAGAACTGTAGTCTGAAACATTAGGTAGGAAATCTCGAGATTCAGATCTTATTTTGAGCTGTTATATAGCAGACCCCATCACGTTACTTTAAGGCAACATTCTCCGAGGCATTGAAAAATCCATTTTAAAACTAAAAACAATTGTTTCTTATGAAATGCATTTCAGTTCATCCTAATTAGGACTTTGATGCTATATATAGTTTTCTATATATTTTTGACTCTAGGGGAGTGATACAAAATACTGAGAAGATAGAATTAAAGCACTTTAGATGTAGTAGAGGTGTTTACAACAAAGCAGTTTAAAAGGCATCTAGTTTCCTGTACAGTAAGTGTTGAAGAACGTTTTTTACTTAAGACATAGATATTGTGGGGCTTACGGTTTATTTTCAAAGGCACACCGCAGAGCATTTGGGAGTGAACTGTAACAGATTTTGATTTCCAAGAAACGCAAACGATAAGCTCTAATGTATAATATAAGCAGATGCATGGCGTCACAGCCTGGTTTTGCCAAGTTTAACAAAAGAACAAGTCCCAGCAGTGTGTGTGTGTGTAAACCCCTTTCACGCTGCCTTCAACAAGTTCTCCAGCTGACAGCTACTAAACGCAAACTAGAAGCAGATGCTAACAGATCTTCCAGCCTGCTGCAATGCGCTGCAGAGGACATGCATTTAATCAGACCTTCAGCTCCAAAGAAAATGCAGCTTCCTCTCCGGATCCTGTACTCGAGGTTAAGAGTCAGTTAAGGACTTTGGTTTGATTATGGCTGAATGTCTGTGACTCCATCCATTTCATCAGAGGAACTTTTCTTCATAATGCATATATATCCATCCACCTCACCTCTCATTTGCATGTAGACACATCCTTCCAAAGCATGCTTTTTGCCTTGGATCAGGGGTTCCCAATCTTTCTTATCAGCTGAACCCCTTCAAACTAAATTATTTGCCTCAAGTACCCCCTTGAGATTATAACTAAATCAAACCTTTCAATAAATGTAGATAAATGCTACAGCAACCCTCTTAACATGCTTCTTTTCACCTGGTAAAATATTAATATTACTACTGTTATTCTTATTATTACATTGTTATTAATTAACAGGACTATTTAATTTGACATTGACGTTTCCATCACAATCTCACGAACCCCTGCAGTCCCGGGCTGGGAATCCCTGCCTTAGGTAGCTTGTAACTAAGTGCATAGTGACATGAACAGCTCCGGATACAGTTGCAAATGCACAACCAGACTGGCCAGTTCCACTACTGAGGGACTTGTCTATTTCTATCCAGAGCAGCGCTCTGTGGTTAGATGGAGGGGGATTCAAGTTTCACTTGCCTCACTCAAAGCTCCTGCCTGACCTCTGGCGGGTCTGACTACTGCATATAGAAAAAAGAGCAAAATAAGGAGAAACACAGCCAAGAAAGGACATTCTTGTCAATACAGTAGCTTAATATTCGAAATATCTACAAACAGACCAGAGCTTGTCGAATATCACGGATCTATGACAATGATTAATGTTCCATCTCTCGTTTCAGCCCTATTGTTTAGTTTATCTGTGAGGAAAGGCAGTGCGCAGTTCAGCACAGGATCAATTTGCCTGAGAGCTCGAACCAAGTTCTTATATTTATAAAGGCCTTTTGACACAGTTCTCCAGTAGACACTTTGGATATCGCATGAGGAAATGTTACTGAACCAGAACATTAAATATACAGGCACCGAGTTCTCTAGTATACTGGTGTGCTTTTGAACGTTTGTAACTAGAATCCTTTTTCAAAGTGACCAGGCAGTCAATGCAGTTTTGCATCAGGCAAACTTTTAAGCCTGCCAAAAGCTCTTTTTGCAAATGAAGAGGCACATAAAGTAGTCAATGCCTAAACCCACCTCAAAAACAGAAAATCCTAGATTTGCAAAGATTCTGCTAAAACAAAATTCTGTTCTGTCAGATGGGTGACTGACAGATATCATACTAGATAAAAGTCTAGCTGATCAAATATCATTTTATCAGATAATAACAAACCACTAGACCTTATAAAACAAGGGACTCAGAAGTATTTGCTCGGCCTTAATAATCCTCCAACCAGTGGCAACTTACACTGGGTGAATACATAAATATTAGAATCAGAAAGACCTAAGTCTAGGCAGTTAATTTAATTCAGGATGTGTGGAGTAAACATTCTGTAATGGGTAAAAAAAAAATGCAAATAGGTTTTTAAGCACAAATGATCAAATGTTTAAAATTATAGCCAATTTAGTGTGCAGTACGTTACACAAAGGGGTTAACATGAAAAAAATAATGATCGAGGGACTCGATACTTCATATTAAACAACAGTGGCCTTGTGATTCCATTTTCACTGCAGTTCAGGGTCTGTTAAACACTTTGGTAAGAAATGCTGATCAAAGATCTAACTTCCAGCTATGAAATACAGGAAATAAAGGCATGACCGCCCTGACTTCAGAACTGAGGCTGCTGCCAGCACATTGGTTTACTGGTCCTGTTTCCTGTTGGAAAGCTGGATAATCTTAAAGCACACCCTAAAAGTGAACATACAAAACTTTGCACACAATGTCTACATGACTAAGTTTAACAACTGCTTCTTCGATCACAAATAAATTGTTTGGAGAAACTGCTTATTTAATGGGGACTTTCCTAACCTGTTGGACTGGAACATAAACTAGAGACCCCCGATTTTGAGAAACACCCTAAAGTTTTTGATATACTGTACTGTACTGCCCATGTCTCAGTTTAATCTTCCTTTTTTGTACCCAAGCCAACAGAACAGTATCAGTCAAGCTCTCTTGAATTAAGAGCCAGTCCTGACTAAATGATTTGTAAGTGCAAGGTGTCAGCCTGACTGGAGGACAGGTTTATCAATATCAGCAAGGTACATCTGTGTCCTCAGGGACAGCAAGGCTATCTCATGGAGGAAAGACTGAAATCCAAACCATCTGATTGGAGGGGCTTTGGGCTGTGAAAAATTGATCAGCACACCCTGGGAACATCTGTAAATATTACAGGCTGCTGGCACAGAAAAACAAATGAATCACAGTGGAGGTGTCTTTTGTTTTCACTCACCTATTACTCTTTTAATCTTCCACGGCACTAACATGACATTGAAGGGGGCCAGAGGCAAAAAAAATATTTTAAAAAAGCAAAAGTGCACGATTAAGAGAAAACATCTGAGAGAGGATTCAAAAATCAGAAGTTGGAGTACATTAATGCTTAGCTCCTGTAAGCAGCGTTTTCACATTTGTTAGAATCAGTCAGTGGCCTTTAAAAAAAAAAGTGCTAGTTTCTTTTTTTTTTCCCCTCTCAACCATGCGAACAGATAAAAGATAAATAAATCAGTTTTAAACCTCTGAAAGCAGAGGTCTCACCTTTTCGCCTGTCTTCCTCCCTTTTTTTCCCCCTGATACATTCAGCAAATGAATCACTGCCACTTATATACATAATACAGATATAATGGTTAACCCGCCTATTTAAGCTTATAGCAGACTGCAGTACTCAAACAGGAGAACGTGGAATTATGACAAACACTACACGTTTTTCGACACAGGATTACAGACGGAGCAGATTCTTTAAATACGCTTTTTTCCCTCCGTTTTGTGTGTACCGAGTAGGCATTGCCCAGTTGCGACACCACAGTTCTCAAGAAAAAAAAAAATACCCATGGCTATCATCTTGGTTTGAAAGCTAAATATGAAAAGTTTCCTCTTGTGTACCAAACTATATATCATACATATACAAAAATGATCTTAGCAAATACTGCAAATGATGTATGGTCAGTCTGCCATACGTAAGAAAAAAATGGGGTCTGTGGCGACCGCGCCGCAGCCATTTTTATACAAATCCAGGGATTTTTATTTTTTTTTACGGTGCAGAAAGGAAGAGGAGTGGGTGGTTAATTCTGTCCGTCTTCCAGGATCTCTTTCACGAAGGAAGCTACGTCTGTTTCCTTGGTGTCGTGCGTTTTGAAGAAAGGGTGTTCCTACACGGGAGAGAAGGAGAAAGACTGGAGTGAACGGAACGTATTCAGAGTGGGGGAGGAGAGGGGGAGGCACGATTTAGTCCGTCCATCCAGCCACGCCTTGAGAATTCAAAATTTCACTCAGTACCGGATTTCCCATTAGGCACTGCAGGCACAGTGCCTAGGGCCTACGAAGGAGGGAAACACTAGTGACTGACGAAAAACCAGCTGACACAACAGGCTTGGGATCGTCTCTAGGTGCTCCCAATCAATAATCACACGCTACCGAGCGGCTGTTGTAGAAAATAGAAGTATAGAAGTGATGGTCACTCGACTCGCTCCGTCAGTCACGTGGTTTAGCATGAGAAGAGTTTAAAGTGTGTCATGCCAATCGATGTCATTCGATTGGCGTTTACCCCTCTTTTTGCACGTCCAGGGCCTGCGAACGCCAAAATCCGTCCCTGCTTTCACTGGTGTGAAGGTGGTTAACCACAACTTTCGAATGAACGACACAACAGACTAAGATTGCCAGACAAATCTAACGAGTGAGCGAGCCTCTCTCTGCCCTCTTTTCATGATCACATATTAGAGGGTTGCTGATGTTACTGATGAACTTTTAACCACATGTACTTTATACTGGTGCGACAGTCTAGGTGTGGAATTGGTTATATATGAATTTGGCTATTGTGCTCCCCACCCTCGCTAATGTCAAAACCTCCTGTCTTTGATTTTTCTCCTTGTTGCCCCAAAACTGTAGGTCCAAGCTTCTAGGAATTATATAAATGTCATCAGTTTTGTTCCACAGTTGAGAATTTGTATCTTTTTCTCCCGTTTTGTGTCTGTTTCTGTGGTGCTCACTGATGAACTGGAGCCCCAATCCCTGCTTTGGATCCTGTACTTCTGAGACCTTTGTCACTGACTCATGTTGCTAGCTCTCTGTCCAAAGACTTCTACAAATTTTCCTAACTTTGCATGAAAATGGCAAATCAATCACTTGCGTTATGCCATAAACATTGCTTAATAAGGCTCGACTGTATGGGAAAGTATTGGATAAAAGTGAAGACGGTGTCATTCATCCCGAAGAAGGAAAATCAGAGGAAGCAGTGGCTTCTTGAAAGAATGTATTATTTTCTATCAATATATTTGCGAGAATTGACTGAAATAACTTGGAACATTTCCTGTTAGAAAACATTCAGTCTTACCATCAGCTCAAGGTAGTTCATTCTTTCCGCTGGATTCTTTTTCAAACTGAAAAAAAAAATTCCAGGCATTGCATTTGTCAGTGAGAACTTTAAAATGAGAAACGTTGTGTAATAGAACTTGGACACAATTTGTACTGTAGCTGTGAAATAGAAGTTAGACCAAAAAGCTTTTCTTTTTACAGAAATGGGCCTTAAACTCAAGGCATTATGACGAGTGCAGAACTTTCTTTGCAGTGGAGTTTTCATCTCTATGTAAAGAGCTCTGCAGGCGTTCAGCTGTACAGTGAACTTAAAAGGGTTACAAAGCAGTGAATTTAAAACTTGTACAGCACCTTTAGCGAGCCGCTTTCTGAGACTCATCCAAAACACAAAGAAATAATGAGTCAGGCTCCACTGCAAGTTGACTTTTGGGTGCTATTTATGTGTAACACAGACAAAAGCGACACTATTGTGATGTACCGCCCTATATCCAAAAAGTAAGTAAAGAACAGAGAGTCAGGGCCTTGGTTTTACGTCTCATCCGAAGGACGGCTCCTTTTTACAGTATAGTGTCCCCATCACTATACTGGGGTATCAGGACCCCTTGCTGGCCCCACTAACACCTCTTCCAGCTGCAACCTTAGCTTCACCAGGAGGTCTCCCATCCAGGTACTGGCCAGGCTCACTCCTGCTGAGCTCAGTGGGCTGCCAGCTGTGAACTGCAGGGTGAAATGGCTGCTGGCCCCCACATCCTGCCCCAACATCAGCTCCTACCCCCTGTGGGGGCCATCCGGGGCCAAAAGCCACAGGCGACAGTCGGTCTAGCACAGGTGATACACGAAGAGGGGTCCTCAGAACAGCGCTTGCCGGGCCCCGACAGAACGACGGATCCTCACCACTGTGCCGTGAAGTCCACGAACTCCCTGGAGAAGCGATCCGGCGGCAGCTGGGGGGAGGGCTCCTCCACTACCTGTTTCAGCTGCTGGAAGGGGGTCCCCCACGACTCGTACGGGAAGCGCAGAATCGCCAGCTCGATCTGAGGTGAGGGGAGGGGGGACGACACAACATTGTACTTTTTAATACCCAAAGACGAAACCAAAAAGACGGCCCTTCCTGTGCGCAAAGTCTTTGTTTAAGGATGAAACTTTCAGCAAACAGCACGAGACGATCCAATAGCAAGAACATACTGTAGCGGTATACACACAGGAGGGGCACCCCAAGAAGACCGTATATTTTTTTATTAATATTCCTACGTGATGGAAGATTTTACCGACCAAGTTCTGAAATATTCCCATAACAAACTTCAATTAGGGTTAATTAAGTAATAATGAAGGCCACCTGGGCAACCTAAGTAGAATGGTCTGGATTAAGAATGGATTTAAAAACCGTATCTACTTAGCACATTTTGCAACGAGTCAGCAAAAAAACTAACTTGGTGCACATTTGTGTACATTCTGCCATCTCGTTTATCTTTCTCTCATTTTGGGTACAGTATTTTATTCATTCACTTGCAACCCCTTCTGTTCCAGATCTGTTAGAACAATAAGAAATTAAATTCCCCGTGGGGAAAGATGTTATACAAAGCTTTTTCTGTTGAAAATGATGGAAACACTCTCGGCAAAATGAGACTGTCTACAAAAGGCAAGTGCAGAATTCTATAAGAACACTAATGTTCATATTTTAGAGATATGAGGATGAAGAACTCTCCACATACATATTTTCAAAGGATACATTAAGAGCAATGCAATTTTTATACCCCTTTGTTGTTACATTGATCTTGATAGGAAGAGCTTTACACTGAATAAAACTAAAACCTCCCCAAATATTCTGCCATACAGAGATGACTTTAGGCATAATAAATCATTCTTTTTCATTGCTTGTTTTTTGTGCCTCATGCAAGACTATGAACGTGGCTTGTGTTTTTTTCTTTTTGGATTTACCTAAAAAGGACGAATTTATAACCTGACTCGGTAACCTGCACTCATATCTCGTGTCACTGGGTGATCAGCCTGTCTGCAGAAGATCTCACAAGACGTTAATCAAAAAACGCCTTTGGCTTTTGTTTTGTTTTTCCTTCTGTCCTCAGATGGGAAAAAAAATCCTTTGTCAGATCAAGCTCAATGGAACAAACAGGCTTCGTTTCATTAAGTGGTACAAGCTGCCTAATTGAGTTTCTAACAGTTGCAGTGGATGTGAATCACAGTAAAGCAATAATGAACAGAGTGTCAGTGGGAGGCATTAAGTATTATACAAGAGAATAGTTGCCAATCAATGTTGTATTTTTTTCCCCACAGATGAAAATTTAATTTAAAGTGGCTTGCGCTGATAAAGGAAAACTTAAGATGCTGCGTGGCATTAACAGTAAAATATTTTACTTTACGTTGCAGTCCAACTGGTTCAAGCCTGATCTGTCGATAGCTGATTGGGATTCCCAATGGAGTGACACACAGGGATAAGGTGGGACTGGAGCAGCCACAGTATTCGCAATATTGTTTTCATAAGCTTAGCCTTCCCAGGTGCCTGTGAACTTGTGTGATTACAGAGATTTGCGTCAGTCCTCTGCCTGATGCCAGTGCTTCTGTAGGCAGAGTGGGACCTTGCAGAGTGAAATAAGGCAGGAAGCTCAACGACGTCTATTTTGAAGGACGCACGCCCGTAACTTTCATCCTTCCAAAGCTGGCCAGAGGCTCGTGCAGATAAACCAAGTCAGCTGATCGCTGAGGATTTCACAACAGGGCCACATAAAAGAACAGTACCGGGTCAGTTCCAGAATTCTAAGAATAGGGGACAGAGGGGCAAAAACTCCTTCCTTACCAGCGTGATTCCTAGACTCCACACGTCCGATTTCACGTTGTAGCCCTTCTGACTCAGTTCGGGGTTTATCCGCTCAGGCTGGAAATACAAAGTCAGGGAGGGTTTGCACCAAAGGTCATCAGAAAGAAAGCACGCTGAGGTTTTCCGCGATATGGGAGTGAAATCAAAACCGTGCACAGACTGATCTTTCTTCTTCTCCCCTGCAAATTATATTTTGAAACGCAAAGATCCGTTGCCGGATATTATTTTTGATCTGTGAAGATCAAAGCGGGTTCAAGATCAACTCAAACGACTGAAAAGCATACATTTTACTGCACACTTTCTCTTAAGGCTGAGTGTGAAACTTCTGAATAAACTAGATAGCTGGGCTTTTTTTAATCACTAGAACAGATTCTAACCACAGAGTTCCCCGTTGCACCATGACAGTTCTGTCTGTGGTTTTAACTGTTTCCTGCAGCTCGAGTTTAGAAGCTGATTAGTGGGTCGTGTTCTTCAACAGAGGACACACAGGTTAACGAGAAATGCACATACTTTGAGTTATATCGGGACACTGAATAGTTTGCACTAGCCAAACTGTACGCTACAGAAGGGACTGATCATGTGAGCGACAGACATAAGGAGGAGTCCTGTCTCGATAGGCGATACTCACGGCCATGTACGGTTTGCAACCAGCATCTAAGGTCTTTGCAACAGAATCTACGAGGTAACCACTGATCCCAAAATCGCACATTTTCACGTGGCCTTCATTGTTGATGAGGACATTTGATGGCTTTACATCTGTGGGGGTGGGAAAACAAAATAACACTTAAAAACATGCAAACATTTAATTATGCGTTTTGATCTGCAGCAGCAAAGTAATTCTGCATGGCACAGTGCAAACCTCTAGACATCAAATGCATCACATACAGATTTTTCACACTCTGCACGGTAGGCAAAGGGAACTATTGCTTGTGTGTACCGTGCCTGCATTTGACGAGACTGTAGGGGAACATAGTTTTCATTGTTTAATGCCCCAGGTACACAGGGAAGTGCTGTTGATGGCAGGAAGAGAGCACTTGAATTTTAATCTGTGGTCAACAAACTGGCAACATACGGGATGTGTCTTGACCACACTGCAGATCTCAGAACAGCTTATCACTGCTCATGACTCTTAATACCCTATGAAGCCTATTCTTGAGGAACTATTCTACTGGTAACACACACTAAAATCGAACAACATCAGGCCTTCATCCATAGTTCATACTGAGAGACTCCCCCAATTCCTGGCATGATCTCACGAGAAAAGCTTCTTTTATTTCCCTTTTGAAACAATTTGTAATTTGTTCCATAAAACAACACTAAGTGTATTGTTCTGCATTTTACCTCTATCGGGGGATCCCCCCCACCCCAGTCAGGTAGCACTACTACTATGGAATATGATTTGCCAGGAAGTTCACATGCTGCTGGAACGGTGTTCCCAAGTGTGTCCTAAAGTGGGCACACATCGGCAGCATGTTGCCCAGCTGTTGCCACTGTGCCGGCCAGAGGGATCACACAGGGCAACAGGCTGGCAACAGCTTCCATCACCCCCTTGCTGACATCAAAACGGAAAAATGTAACCATGTGACCAAGCCCTCATAGTTACTTTTCAGGTGTCTACAAATGCTTTAGATACTGGAACTATCAGACACGTAAGAAGACACATGTTATAGATCATCATCTTATACTGCACATTAATTGTTTGTGTTTGCAATCAGGATGCAAGCGCCAATAGTAATGTATGTCTAAGACGCTGACAGTTTGACAGGAATGTACCATATGCCATCTCCTATAAAATCAATATACAGTATACATAGACAATGTATATGAATTGACTGCAATACTCCCAAATTTCCCCAGAGGGCACCTCTTACCTCTGTGAATCACAGACAGCTTACTGTGTAAATGTTCTAATGCTTTGACAATCTGGAGAGCAGAAAAATACAGGAAACATCCAGTTAATACACCCCCCCATATCTGGATTGAGCAATTGCAAAATTAAAATAATATACAACAGAAAGTAATTTGCAATTGCATGATTATAAAAAGAACTATTGTTGACAATTTAAAGACTTGAGTGTCTTTTTCAGGCAGAATAGGTCTAACATCTGTTAGTCCTGTGCAGTTGCATTGAAAAATCAGATCAAATCAGACACTTACAGACACAGCCATTTTCCCTAGGATGTCCTCTGGTATTTTCTTCTTTTTTTCTATCACTTTTTTGTAGAATTTGTCCAGTGAGGTATCCATCAGTTCCATGCAAATCCACACATCACCCTAGAGAAGAATTAGCCTTGTCATCATCCAGAGTACAAGCGTCTCAGATGCCACTTGTTTGACATGTATTAGGAAGTTGGCCTGACATTACACATGTTAGAAATGTTTTTGAAAAAGTCCATTGGGCATCTTTTTTAAATGCTGCCCCTGAATATTTCTAAAATGATTGTTAATGTGGATATGCACAACTTTCCCGGGATTTGGAGAGAAGGTCACCTTTTCACAGATTCTGGAGGTTTGGAAGATACAAAATCAGTGCCTACGCAGCAAGAAAGGAAGGAGAAGTGCAGAAAAGTTTCAGAAAAAACATTTACCGTTAGACTACATGAGATTAATTTAAGTTCCCATTTCTTAGCACTCTGCTCTGAATTAGCGGCGATCTGCAATGCTGTTTTTCTATTTGGGGTTTAGAAAGAACTGGTATTGTTGAGTGCCTTTCAAGACAATATGAAAGTAAAATGTAAAATACACAGTAACGTACAAAACCTCCAATTTACATTACAAAATGGAAGAAAAATGCAAATATGCGCAGCGCCATATTCCAGGATTCAGAACAAGGCATCAAAACTTCTGGTGAGGTGAAACAGCCCTATTACATTGTAAACAATCAGGCTTGAGAATTCGTCTCTTTTAATCCAATAGAAATATTGCTCTCGACCTAGACAGTTTTGCCAACAAATACAACTTACTTGTTAACTCTGCATGCAGATCATATTGGAACATTTCTGGGGTAAAATGTCTGCAGCACAGCTTGTACTTCTTCACTCGTACATCCCATTACATTAGTCGTTAGGGTGACTAGTGAGCAGGAAGGGCATCACGTCTCAATTCACGTGAGCTCTTGCTCTCGCCCGTGGTGAGACCAGCAGTTTGCGGCAACCATCCAGTACTTTCAGAAAGTACACAATTTTGTGCTTAATTCGGAATTTGTCAACTTTTGCGATTACTGTCAATGAATTTAGTTAATGAGCCTTAATAACGGTTTGAGAAACAGGACTGCATTTCCCCTTAAAGCCTTTCTACTCTTGGATACAAAGCACTATCTAGCAGTGCATTCTTTTGTTAAACTATTATTATTTAACTTTAATAATATAGGATAGCTGAGTTAAAGTCATCTACATCTACATATTTTTCTGCTTCTAACATTCCGGTTGTGGGAAAGCATGCCTCTAATAAACCGCAGAATTGCCTCTAACCGATATACAGTGACAGATATGTGTCCACCACTGGGCAAATTTGTCCTCATCATCAGAATACTTGTGGCTAATGAAATGTGCAATATAACAGGAGACTCCATATTCCACAAAAGGCTTTTGGGTAGAAAGCGAATCTGCTGTCTTACAGCGAGTAAATGCAGCTCTTGCCTGTATGTTCAGACCTACCTCTCTGAAAAGGGCTCCGTAGAAGGTCACAGTGTAAGGGCAATCCACTGTCCTCATAGAAATGTCCAGGTCCATCAGCAACCTCTTCTGTTCTTGACTGTTCACAGTGGCTCTTATCCTCTGTAGGGGAGGTAACAAGATCTCTCCTTTAGCCTTGCTCTATGAGTGGTGCAGTGGAAGCTCTGTGCTTTTTTCCCACTAAGAAATTTCAAGTACACCGTGTGACAAATTAGCGGCTCTCAAGTCTTCCAGGCTCTTCACCGCCGGGTAAAATTTGAAAACGGGAGCCACAGACATGAGACGAAAGGCACTGTGCGGCAATTGACTGCCCTACTGTTTTATAAACTGTGTCTGGCCTCTACTAGAGCAAAGGAACAGGTCAAGGTTTATTCCAAAGCTGAAAAGACAAAGAGACTTTTCTTCTGACCATGGAATAAACCTTGACCTGTTCCTTTGCAGCCTACGCATGCTGGCTCAGCTCCCTACTTTAACCACTCCTGGAGCAACCCGCTTACCGTCAAAGGCCAATTAAATGTGTTTGTCTGGAATCCCCCCAAAAAAGGGGTACTCCCTGCACTAGCTGAAGCTCATGCAAATCCCTGTTGGTTAGCACTGCCTTTGGTGAGCAGTAAAATCCAGCCAAGTCAAGAGTTCAGGTTTGACCAAAGTTCCGCTCGGCTTCTCGTGATGATGAAGTCTCGGGCGGCTATGAACGGGGGAGGCTTGTGCCTCTTCCAGCCCCCCCCGGGGGGGGGACCCGAGCGCCGAGGAGCTGCTCGCGTGGCGGCTCACTCACTTTCACCGCCATGATGGTGCCGCTCTGCGCGTGCCGGACCCTCTCCACCACGCCGTACGCCCCCCGGCCCAGCTCCGACAGCGGCACCAGGTCGTCGGCCTGCACCTCGAAGTTCTGCAACCCAACAAGACAAGCGGGCGCGGGGACTCTTAATATCCGTGAGAAGAGCAAGCCAAGCCGAACACCCCAGGGCCCGAGCTGTGGCAGAGCCACTGCATCCTGAGAATCCATATAATTTACCACAACATACCACCCTTAAAAACACAATTAGCACTCGTTGTGTCTTCATTATCGTCCCCGTTGAGCAATACCTATTCATTTTGAACCCTCCTGAGTACAGGAAGGATTTTAAATCATTATTAACCATAATCATTTCAGATGTCACAGCTGTAATGATTGTAATTACGGTGCAGACGTCTTTCTTCTGTTGGAAAAGAATACTGCTGCGATATATCATTCAAAGAAATGCACAACTCTATATATATAATCAGTACACTGCAGGACTGAAAGCAAGTCACATGTATCACCTGTGTGTTTGAGGGACTAAAATTCCCTGTGGCTGGAGAATTGTTTTGGAGTTGACAGAGTTCAAGCATTTTTAACTTTAACAGAATCGGCCATCTGAAAAGAAATTAGTCCACCTATTAAAACCATTTTTTTTGCTTTTGATAAATGATGCCCCATCTTTGAACTTTATTAGCTTCAGAATATCACTTTAATTCTGTTTCTTTATTCCCCAAATTACCTGATGTTATAATCAGGCTACCTCTTAATCACTAGAGGCATCGTGAGTGCGGACAGACACACGATAGTGAACGGAAGGATACAGCACATTTCTCACGTCGAAATCGCTGTCCGGCTATTTTTAAACAGCAGGCCAAGGTAGGAGAAGAAGGAAAACAGCATGAAAAAAGATCAAGACAGTGGGCTGACAATCTCATTGATTGCACATCATGGTTTTCTAGGAAATGAGAGAGTGCCAGTCTTTGATCCTGAGGCAAATTTTTCTATAGGCAAAAAGGCTAATTATTTGACACCTAATCACCCCCAAGGTAAGATAAAGATACTGCATGACGACTGTTAGCCACAGAACCCAATTACAAAATAAATTAACTACCTTAGTTTAAAAATGAGGTAAGTAGAAAGGTCATCTAATGTTATCTTCCATGAATAGGCACCAAGACTGAAAACAAATGGAGAATAAGGATGCAATGCCCATTGAAGCACGATATTGTGATAAGTAAACCTCATGGTTGTCAGACAGGTTTTAATGCGGCACTTGTCTCATGTTAAAAAAAAATAACCCAAAACACTCTCACAAATAGGCGGGTCACACCTTTTAATCCACAGGAGGAACACCTGTTACACCTGTTTAATCCTGGCTGTGTTCCTTATATGAGTTAAAGGGCCCAACATCTCCCCCTCAGGCAAGAGGGAGATCAAAGTTGTACAATAAACTGCAAACTAATCCTCACCGCTGAAGACAAAGGAATCCTACTAATGCCAGCCAGTCCCTTTTCTCAGCCTCCCACAACCTTATATCGAAACTGGAGCTACGCCGGGCTACAGTTTCTTTGTTCCCTGTGCGTAGTAGGGTATTTATCCAGGAAAGGAGGGCTTGTGTGGTAGGGAAGGCGTGCAATTTTCCATATAGTATGAGATCCCCAGAAAAAAATGCACGCTATTTAATGAACCCACTATCGCCCTGCATCCCATCTGTGCAGCAGGAGAAAACCTGCATTTATTAACGAGATCTGCAGGCTTGAAATGAAGAATTTCCCACCGGCGGTTTTAATATCTCCCGCTGTCGTCAGGAAGCAATCATGCAATTGTGCATTCGCCTCTGCAGCTCACGCCCAACGTTAAATCCAAAGAGATTGCTGGGCGTTTATTTTATCCATAACCTTGTAATGGGGTGGTTACTGTCTACAGAATATGGGCGCTACCGTATAACCATTTCCAAAGGTCGGAACTTAGGGGCTACAACAGGTGAATTTTCAAACGAGCGGGATGAGGCTTTTACAGTATATATTCGAATTCAGTGTTTTCTCTATCCTGTTGTACAACCGCTGGTGTGGGGTGAGGATGGGGTCTAGCAGGAGAGGCGAAGGATACTCTCTTACGAGTTCACGGCTTTTTCTAAGTAGTGCTGCTTCATCAATCTGAGCATTATCTGAACCCAATCCAGGGGTTTGACCTGCAGTTCCTTTACAGTGCAGTCTTTTAAAGAGCCAAAGACAGAAAGCATCTAATTTTTACCTGGGTCTTGTATCGGTGGGCTCAAGCACAATGGAAAATAAAAGAACAAGGAACTTTCATCACTTTTTACAAGCAGTTTAGTAGATGCGTTTCTGTCTCTTTTTAAGCCTACAAGCTTTGCATGCTCAATTTGAGGTGTGCTCTGTGTTTTTCTTGATAAAAGCATTACTCTTAGTGTGGACCCCCCCAAATTTAAAACCAAGTTGAAATATGTTTCTTCTAAATAAAGCTCCAGTCCTGTGGCATACGTGATATGGAAGACATCTGCTTTGTCAATAGGTTTCCATTTCTGAGGACTCCTCAGAGCACCCCGAGATTGTGTTTGGAGTATTTTCAAGAATGGGACTGCTTTGTTTTGCCTTGAACTGTGATTTTCCAACTCCAGCACATGAATGCTACTTCTCCAAGACAAATGGGAGTTTATAAGGTGAAGGAGCCTTTTGCTGGGGATGTGCTGTACCAGCTCCTATGGACATGGTGGACACGTGTGTAACACGCATTTGTGTCCCCACATAAGCAAGCAGTGATGCATGTTTGCAAAAAGACCTTTCCTGGAAGACTGAATTAGTATGGTCCGTAAACAACACACTGGAGCGTACATAACAAAAATGAAGTGGCCAATAAATTGGAGCATACAAAACACTGCCTCTTAGTGAAACTAAATTTCCTCCGGAGGAAAAACACTGTATCCATTTATATCTCACTGCTGAGCACCACTGTTTCTTGATAACAGACAAGCTTTTAATCTTTTGTTACACTTTAAGCAGTTAGTCACACTCCCAAAGGCTACGAAAGCAATAAAAATAGCACAGATTCATAATTTGAAAACATTTCCTAAAAACAGATGTAGAAAAACTGTAAAATCAGCAAACACTTACAAAGAACTGTATTTTTTTCCTTAACGTACAGCTTGCATGCAAGGTTCATAGTGCCAGAGATAGAGAAAGGCCGCTAAAATAAATGTATGAATTTAAAATCAATAAATTTGTTAATGTCAAACAGTGCACAGAAGAGGAGACAAATTATAATTCTTGTAACAGTCAAAATCTCATGTAACTTCAAATTAGGAGCACAGTCACAGCTCCGCAGTTGTAATTCAAGACGGCATCATTATATTTCAAAAAGAGAAAAGCTGACCACTGCAAAATACCAAAATACCTGACAGTGGGTATTTATTTGTAAACCCTGTGTATCTCCCTGTGTTTGTGTTTGTTTGCTCTGGGTGCTCCGATTTCCTCCCACAGTGCAAAGACATAGAGGTAGGCTAATTGGCTTCTGGGAAAATTAGCCCTGCTGTGAGTGTGTGCACGTTAGGATCTGTGTGTGCCCTGCGATGGACTGGCGTCCTGTCCAGGGTGTACCCTGCCTTGTGCCCATTGCTTGCTGGGATAGATTGTAGCTCCCTTGCAATCCTGAGTGGGAAGAGGCATTTAGAAAATGGATGGATGGAGTTTGAAGCTCGTGATTCGTGATTCACATGCATGTTGTTCATCTACAGTTCTTTCAGATTGGGATATCCATGGCATAGGTCTGTTGTGACCTGATCTGAAATCCTTAATTAATTTCTTTGCACATGGCCACCTACAGTGCATGCTTTGTGGGGATGCCTGGAAAATCAAGCATGCTCCGTGGACATTCTAAAGACAGCAATTGTGAACTTATTTCAGTTTCACCTGACATGATTCAGACCTATTTTATTTAACTGTCTTTGCTGAAAGTTATAGAACATACAGAATGACACATTGAATGTTGGGAAACAAGGAATACATTTCAAGTGCTTGCATAGAGATTGGGTGCATCTAACTTGTATTATTAATACAAGGAATAAATAAAAAAAACTCCGCTGTACATTGTGTGACAGGGTCTTGTACTGTGAAACAGGCAAAGGACATAAAACCTTTAAGAAAAGGCAGTGGAACTCTGGCAAATAATTGGTACACGCATGGCTGCCAAGTTACTCCAACCTTCACGCTTCAAACGTTAGGGGCAAACAAAATGAATAATGTCCCAAATATTTGTTATGAATATGATATGAAGGAACTCTCATATTGAAGTTTAGAAGGGAAATATTTGTTATTGTAAACAGAGTGTTCTAAATGTGGACTATCACCATCCCCTGTGTATAAGCTCAAGGTCTACAGCATGCAAAAAATGTCACTGAGCAGTATACAGCACTGGACAACAGCAGGATACTAAATTCCATTACAATGAATACAAGGGCACACAAATACACCAAATGCTCATTGGAAATAAGTAGGTTTTTTTTTATTCGTTTTGCTCATAAACACCCCGATTCAGAGAGCCACGGCTCTTCCTTGTTTGAACAGCTGAATTCAGATATAGCAGGGTCTTACTGAACACAGCACTGAACACTGCGATTAACACCTGGCTTCAGTCCCAGCAGTTACAGGGAACGTGAACAGATCTGGACTCGAACGCGAGTTCTGGCTGTTTGAAAAAGATTACGCTGACGTGAGAGCTAAATGACTGAATCATATCAGTTTGTAAAGACTAATTAAATATACGTGCAATCAGTACGTTTTTTTTGTTCTGTCTAGATTGGATTAAGGCAATGACCTGCTGGCCGTGCTCCCAAACAGCAATATTGCTGAGTTCCTGCAAACGCTATGATCTGATATGATATTTCCGCAGACAGTCTGTAACTTAGAATGCGGACAGAATCCTTCTGTGCGACTCAGGCTGAAGGTTTTCCTTAGCGCGGTGCCTCTTTCCCTCTTGCGACATTTTTGGAAACGCCTGTTTAACCTCCCTTTTCACCTCCGTCTCACGAATGGTGATGCCTGTCTGTAAATTTGACTGCCAGGCCTGGAAATTCAACCTGAAATATGAGAAGCATCCCCACCCTTTCTGTTTAAGAATGGAATCAAGATTGCAGTGTTGTATTAAGTGTTTGCTGGAGATTGCATTATTTCTTGTGCACAGGGCACTATTATCAAGACACAATACGTAGATGACCGATTTGCAATTTGCTTAATTCATACTTACAGTATATATGCATACTGAGGCCTAACAGGCAGGTTTTTCATGTCCTTTCACTGTACAAGGTGCACTGCTTGGAGCATATACTGTCTAGCTTTTGCTGGAAAAAATAATGACTCATCATTTCATATCCAGTAACAAAAGCCACGCCTTAACTCAAGCTGAATCATGGTAGTGTTCAACACTGAAATTTCTGAAATAGACCGGTATAAAAACATGATGTCAGCCTAACATCACTTCTCAGTAGCATTTCAGCAGCAGCACTGTTTGCAGGCTCCTTGCTTTACAGGAATAGATACTGGGGTAGTTGTTCTCAAAACGAGGAATCGTTACACCTTTCCCTTTTGCGATGTCAGCGATCATCATTAACGCACGGTCCTCACATTCCCTAATATGTTTTACCACAGATATGTATATAGAACACCTGCCTGCATTTAGGACCATCTGGGAATGAATTAATACAGCCAGCCCCTATATCACCTTGCAATTCTACAACTGGCAGCCCACTGAAGCTCAGCAGGTATGAGCCTGGCCAGTACCTGGATGGGAGACCTCCTGGGAAAGCTAAGGTTGCTTCTGGAAGAGGTGTTGGTGGGGCCAGCAGGTAGAGCTCACCCTGCGGTCTGTGTGGGTCCTGATGCCCCAGTATAGTGACAGAGACACTACACTGTAAAAAGGTGCCGTCCTTCGGATGAGACATAAAATCAAGGTCCCGATTCTCCATGGTCATTAAAAATCCCAGGGTGTTTCTCAAAAAGAGTAGGGGTGTTACCCCGGCATCCTAGCCAAATTTCTACTGGCTTTTACCAATCATGGCCTCCTGATAATCCCCATCTACAAACTGGCTTCATCACTCTGTTCTCCCCACTGAGAGCTGGTGTGTGGGGAGCACTGATGTCTGCCATCATCCACGTAGGGGGAAATCCCTTATTGTTATGTAATATAAGAAAGATTACACATAAGATAGGGTCATTTAGCCCATTTAGAAATTGCAACATAGGGAAAACATAAACATACTATGTTTGCTGTTATTATTCACATAAAGTTTATTGATGTGACATGAGAATGTCATATCTATTTTCCTCTCAGAAGCAAAGTAAGGCAGTACTCTTCCCTCTTTATTTTAACTTGTACTAAGCCACAGTATTTGCTGACAGGTTTCTTAAGGAAATTCTGCACAGTCAAACAGTAGAGGCTTTTGGAAAGCGCCAACCACCTTCTCTTAAAGGCAGAAGGCTATTTTAGAACTCCTGCCACCTGTCTGGCGAGAAACGTATGACTTCAACATAAAGGCATCGGGACGACTCTTCCCCGCTGACACTTCCGTAAGGAATGCTGGGCAAGTTCCCGTCGCGCACTAACTGAGGGTCCAGCTCTACAGCTCCTGCACTTCCCCACTAACCCAGTGCAGTTGGTGGGAAGGAGGACAGTTCACGCCACAGCAGGGAGGAGACAGGACTGGCTGGAGGTTAAGGCACTAGCCAACCCGGCTTTTAACCCCAGGGCAAGTTCATATTCGGAAAATCAGTTGGGTTTTTTTTGAGGTTAGGCGGTCACCTAATCAGCATGCTATGTTTCTGCCCCAAACTAGAACCTTGGAAGGAATTAAAATTCAGCCAGTTTGCCATAGGAATACAATACAAAATGAAGGGTTACTGCCATTACGTTAGCGGTGCTAACGATAATGCTCGACGTGACCATTCGGCAGGCGGTCCCTAAAGCCATGCATTCCAAGACGACAAACGGTACCAAACTCCCACTGAACTTTTTGCTGGCAGGGATTTTTGGCTCCTGTTTTATAAAGGAACATCAACAATAGCAAAAGCCAGCGTAACCTCTATATTCCTGCGGTTTTCCCGAGTGACAGCGGCCGGTTTCAGCTGCTTTGCACGTTGAGATTAACGGACGAACCTGCTCGTTTTTGTCCTAAACTCTTGAGCAGCTGTATGGGCTTCAATATCACCAACATCAAAATAATTCCTGGTATGAGGGCTGGCTGGCACAAGCGGAGGGTCAGTGTTGCGCTAGCTTTGCTGTTGTATAGTGGGTTATTTTACATGTCATTAATATTTGTCCCCTGTGGAATGCCAGCCGATTACTCACTGAGCACGTGCACAGCTCTCCGGCTCTGAACATACCTTCTGGATCACCTTGCACCGAGACAGTGCAAAGGTCCTCCATAAACAAGCCTTCACTGAAGGCACGACTGTTTCATTGTGCACATTTCACAGTGGTTTTGGAAGTGTTTCTATTTTTGTGAGTCCCCATGCTTCTCTTTAGTGCAAGTTTGTAATGCAGCTTAAAACTGACAGAAAGCAGATATTGAAATCGAGGAAATGTGACAGAACTGTACTATGGACTTACTATTACTAACTCCTTTTTAACAGGGTAGGAACACAACAGGTGCTTGCCACACCTGGGAGCCACTGGTGCTGTGAAAGTGGTATTTTTTCCTTTAAAAAAATGTCTGAATGAGCTGGTCGGTCATTTTCATCAAACACAAAGAAAGAGAACCGTAATTCGGTCACTAAACAGCTTCTGCCGATACCATTTTGAGGACCGAAATGCTAAAAAATCATTTTTTTAAAAAATTGTTTAAAACAAAAACAATAATTCACAAAGTTTGCCTTTTGAACCATTTTTGCAGCTTTTGCAAAAGTGTTTTTTGAAGTGTCCTGTTTAACTGACCAGAGATTTTAAAAGCTGTTTTACGCGATGTCATTTTCACATGCCGACATCAGTGCACCAGAATAGAACGGTAACCTCAGTGTTGCGGACACTGATTCAGCAGGCTGGTGATGTCAGTGTTGACAGGGAGAGTGGTTTGTGTGCACAGGGTGCAGGACAGGTTTCTATGTGATGTCATCCCTCCCTCAGGCTGACAGAGCCCTAGAGCTGTCTGTAGCATCTCCAGCACCAGTGCAAGAAACTGCTCTCTTCCCTTAATCACATGCCACTTCTTGTGTTACAGCCATTCTGCAGCCAGGCTGTTCCACATGACTGAGCTTAGGATCCATGCAAATTGAATGTATACAGAATGTAGAAGAATCTATAATAATGATTTATTTTCTTTTTATGGAGTCATGCATTGCATGTCAAAGCAAGACTTCACTTCATTTTAATTTCTGAGTAGAGGTGGGATTATTAATTAAAAACTTCTGATCTCTAAAAAAAGACCAGCTTGGGTCTAAGATTCCAAAGTGTATCCTTCAGAAGAGGATATACATACTGGATCCGACTGGACAGGGAGGATTTTTTTATTTGAAAACTGCCCGCTTTTTGTAGGAGGGAGCGAGTGCGATATTGTTGCGACTGTACGATTTGGAGACTGCTGGACAAGTGTGGAATCACAGATTTAAAACAGGCCAGCTGTCTGCCCCTCAACTTCTTACCAGTGCATATACAGGGTTTTATTCCTAATTGTCGAGAAAACTAATTAGCAAGACTCCAGCAAAGACTTGTGCAGATGATAACATTATTGTAAGCAAGAAAAGACGTTTAGCAGAGCCCGCCTGCTTTGGGAGACAGAAGGTGGTGGTGTAACCGGGAACCAGCTGTAATTAGGGTCTCTCAAAAGTTCAGAAAAGGCTTCACATGTGAAGACAGGAGTTGCCGACACAGCTGGGGACTCCAAATTAGGGGTGTATACAGGCAAAGAAATAATCAGCGATTCCAGATGTATAAAACATTTTACAGAATAAACATAATGACGCTACCCAGGAATTCCTTGTTTTCTTATCCATTACTACATATAGTCAAGACAACAGCTCAGGACAGTCCTTAAAACATGAAGCTGAATCATAAACAATTCATTTAATTCACTTTCTTGGCTGAACTGGGTTTTCCTGCAGCACTAACTTTGGAAAGGTTCTTGACTGTGGTTCTGAGGATTCTCGGAGCAAAAAATTACCTGGCATTAGAGCTGTTACATGGGGGGTCAGGTTTCTGAGTTGGGCTGCATTTAGCAGTGGGGAGAGGCGCTGGTTTGGGAATTCATGCTGCAGGCAATGCATGCCTCAGGATTCCACTCAGCTATCAGGGATCAAGATACAAAAGTCTCACATGCTTACTTTGTCTCCAATTGTAATGAAGGTCCTGGAATCCAGATTTCGGGGCGGCCTGTAGGAGGAGAACTGCAGTCAAAAAAACATACTGAAAGCTGTGATCCAAATGTGCTGGCGCTGATTTATCCTGGTCTTTGTAGAATGTGTCAAGAGCACAGATGATATTTTAATACGTGTTGCGTAGAACTACATAATAATTGACACAAGACGTGGTCCATCATTTTTGTTGAAAGCATGATACAGTGCCTGAAATCTTACTTTCTAATGCACTAGGAGCAATTAACTCATATAAATATATATTTAGAGAGAGATTATTTGGTAATCATCACTAACTGTGTCCCTCATGATGCTATTGTCTGGGATTTGTCGATCGATGCCCGGATAATATGAATCAATTTTACTCCAAGTCGTGTTACAAGAACGTTTATGCCTTATAAATGGAATAATGGCATTCCATGGGGTTTGTTCATTTGAAATGAGAAGAAACATGTTCAGTTTTGATACCACATGGCTCGTGGAAGTGACACCACAACACCTGTGACTGCAATTCTGTTTTACCAAAAGGTGAACCTTAAAAGGTACTGTGCACAGCTTTCAGCAAAGCTGAGCTGATTAACCAGTGCTAAAACATACAATGCTGTATGCTGTTTAAGTCAAAATGCCCTGTGTGTTATGTCCACTGTGCTAGAAAAGGTTTTTTGTAGCTGAACCATACACCTAACAGGGGGGTCTTCTTTCATTCATTCATTCATTTCATGCACGCATTAAAAGCAGATCAACAAATACGCACACAGGATTAGGCTCTTTCTGCTTGAAGACGTCATCTGGGATTTTCAAACCCGGCTTCCTCTTCATCTTTCCTGTAGAATGCAAACACAGGAGGCTATTAGCTTGCACATAAATCCAAATGGCTGAACGATCCAAGGGCCCTCCAGGCCAGCGACAGCTGGACCGGATTCATCCGATTCTAAGATGGATGATTCATTAAGGATCCTTGGGAATCGGCCGGGTGACTGTGGCACAAGATTGCAGAACTTCCCTGGAAAACGACCCTAACATGTCTGAACTGTCTACTGCCTTCCAGGAACTGCAAAAACACTCAAGGCCTTGGTTTTTTGGCAATCAAAGTAGACTCGGGAGATTAAGACATGAGGCCCTAAGTGTCTTTTAAGAGGGTGAGAGCAGTTGAAACGGCACTGGTTTCTAAACACTACTATCCCTTAACAATTCCAGTTGTTGTCCCATTCATGTGGACCGAATTTTGTACCGCTGTGGAATAGGCTTTGCGTAGTAGCACGAACAGGCTAGCCAACATTAGAAGTATATCACTGACAGTAATGACCGTAAAAAAGAAAAAGGCAAAACTGCACGTTAGCACCAGTAAAAGATCCTCCCAAAATCCCGAACATGCAGTCTAGGTTGTAATTTTGGCAGATGAAAACAAATTCAATGGACTGTAATTTAAGACAAAGAATGACGTTCCCCTGCTCTTTAACTGTGCTGCTGATAAAACATTCCAACACCAAGGGGACAAGCGATGAAATGACAGGCGAGTGTGTACACTGAATCACAAGCCCACACCCCTCAGTCTGTTCACCATTAAAAAAAAAGTAACAAATCAAAGGTTCCATTCAGTCCAACTAGGCCGTTTGGTAGTTGGTAGGAAATTGATCCAATAATCTCATTAGGCTGTTGCTTGAAAGAAACCAAGGTATCATCATGGACAGGCTGTTCCATACCCTCACAACTCTTTGTGTAAAGCAGTTCCTCCTGTTCTCAGTTTTAAATGCACTTCTGCATGGTTTCCTGCATCTTAAAATCATGATAAAGCTAAATTATGAACGCGTCGGAAACAGCCACAGCCTTACAGGATCTGCGGACATTGTTAGGCTGTGAAACTGTCCCCTTCATGTGCGCACTGAATCCAACATCTCTGCAAACCCCAAAGGATAAATGGATTCATCTAAAAATGAACAGAAAGCAGTTTTTTCCTGGTAGCGTTATTGCAACCCAGGGTCTACCTCTGAAGCACAGAGTGCAAGTCAGGACTGTGCCCTGTATAGGACAACACTCCACTGTAGTGCTTATAAACACACAGGCACAATTAAGAGACACTCATTTGCCAAGACCGAATGTCGGTTCTGAAGCTGGCAGGTAACTGCAGCACCCATACAAAACACACACAATTATAATAATAAGTGAGCTCCTAGCAACCAAGTGATCTGGGTGGCTTCCTCTCTTGTGTGGCTTTTCTGGTCTAATTATTTTAAGTTGTGAAGCATCAGACAGAAAGACGCTACATGGTTTAAAGCCCCCCGGAGTGGAAAAGGGCCAAACTGGCGTCACTGCTGACTCCTGGGCCCACCAGCCAAGTGGCACAATCTCGAGTCCGAACAGGTGGGAGATCAAATTCCCCCCCCCCGGGAATGCTGACCTGAGTGCGAAGATTTTATCTAGTCTGTGAACCTCTGCGTCAGTATTGTTTTACAGAAAGCTCTACCACCGTGGGGCTATCGAAAAGTCCACAAAACCGCTGACCTCTTTACTGGTATTTTTAGGGTAAGGGGTTTGGGTTTTCCCGTTTGTTGGCAAATGTCTTACTTTTCAAAACAAAATTGACCAGTGTGAAACAGATGCAGTTTTAAAGTTAAAAAAAAACATCATTCTATCTGAGAGATGGATTCCTGACATCAGAAAGCAGAGGCAGCATTCAGGATCCTACATAACCTCTGTGATCCCAAATCTCTTGGAAATCTGCAGTATCTTAAGTCCCTGGTACAGATCATAGTCAAATGAGCTAGGCTGTGTCAACAGGTTCAAAACCTAGATTGGAAGTATCTGTCAGTAAACCCCAAACCAGGATTGTGGTTAGCCTTCCTTTTAAACTGACAGAATAGTTGCAATGTTTCCATGTCTTTAAAGATTTTAATGCTATTATATTCCTATGTGTACTTTTATTTTATAGATACATATTACAGGTACTGTTAGTTTTCTATAATTCAATAGACATTTCTCCAAATAACATTAAAGGGATGAATTTCAAATTAAAGATGTAACACAATTAATTAAGTTAGTTAAAACACTCCTACAACCTAAGTAGTAAAATATTAGAAGTACCTGTAATGTTTACCGATGTGAAAAACCTAAATTATTATTTAGAATTGTCAGATATTAGTCATTTATACGCACTGTATTTCGAACAGCCAGTTGGGTGTTTTCCCCATCTCACAGCAACAGAACCTGTGACCGCACACAGGGGAAGTGCAGGCTGACTCCTCCTACCTGCCTACCTTTGAGCCAATCAGCTTTTAATGTGTCACAGGCAGCTACGCCCCATACCGGAGAGGCAGTGCTGATTGGGAGAGATGTATGTCCCTCACTGAGACCACCGCACAGTCACAGCTGGCAAGTGACAGGACTGCAACTCGAACCCGTGACCGTAGAGCTTAACATGCAGTCAGATGAGCACATTTACTTCTTGAGTTACTCGGCAGGCCCAACCTCTTAGGAATCTTTAACCATTTTACAACAGGAGGCAAAGAAAACAGTATAGACCTCAACCAATCAATATGACTGGTGATCTTTTTTTTTTCTGAGCGGTGTCTTATTCAGAGCAATAGTTTCCTCAGGAAGTTAGATCTACTGTAATTCAGCTTGAGCCAGGTTTTACTGACTGTGATTATAAATTCCTTTACAGGTGACAGGCCCAAATTAAACTAAAGCTGCTTGTGGAAAACTAAAAATATCCCAGAGTTCAGTTTCCACTTATTTGCAGTGGAAAACTGAAAAAGATTGACAGAATATGATATCGGTGCAAAAAATGCACATAAAGATAAAACAAAGTCAAATGTCTGCAACTTATTTTCAGCAGTATAATGCATTTGGCAAACTCAAAAACAGTTGGTAGAATTGTATTAAATGGCATGGTGGGACCATAAAACAGGCAAAACAATCCGAAAGTCTTTTGTGAAAGAATTTCCAACTGTATCAAATACAAGTGACTTAAAAAGTAAAAACGGAAAGTTTTTGGAATACAATTCCTGTCTGGTTTGAGAACTGTTGGACCCTCAGCGTGCGACAAAACAGTATGTGAGCAAAACAAGTGAACTGAGACCTCAAGGCTGATGTTAGAAACGGTCAGAAGAGCTGTTACGTATTCTTTGAATAACATCTGAAAAGGAGCACATTATGCAAAGCAGCTAACTGCTGGAGGCTTGTATCCTGGCCAAATCCTGGGTCTAGTTGCAAACTACTGGTGCTGTTTACCGTTAAACAATGGCACTCATGGAAATGGAGTTATGGTGACCATTCAGATGACTTTCCCAGAAATATGTTGATCCCTGTACTATATTTATAACAGAACCTGGTAACATTTCCGAATGGCACACTGCCCTGCCTCCTCTGTGATTCAGATGAACAACACATTTTACTCTCCAGAGCTAAGCCTCTTTAAACACGCCTCTTTTGCAGAGGCCCTGTAAAACGCACTCCGGTGAACACTGAGCTGTGGTTGTCCAATTCAGCCCTTAATTCCAAGATGCAGGCTGCCTCTGGTGAAACAGATGAAGAGAAATAAACTAGGCATTTCCAACTGGTTTCTTTACTGTAGAATTCCTTCAGAAGGAAAAGAATAGTGCTGGATCCCTACACTCAGAACATTCCACATCCAAAGAAATATAATGACAGGTCTACGTATACAAGGGCAGGCATACTGCAACTCTGAGTATGTGATGAGGACAGACAAGACAGAAGGTCATTTACCAATCTGCTTCCATTTTTGGATGGATAAGGGCAGAAGACAACAATGGTGGTTACCAAAAAAAAAACATTCCTGATCGTCCAGACTGTTGCAGTCCCGGAGTTTGCTATGATCACGTCTGTAATTAACAACTCCAATGAGCTACAGAAAGAACAAAAACCTTCTTGCAGATGTTTTAGGGCATCCTTAAGAATCCCAAAGATGCACTCAACCCCCAAAAAGAGAACGAAACTGCAAAAACACAAGGTTTCCAGGCTCAATTTTTGCAACAAGATTAAAAGTCAAGATGCCAGCACTTTCAGAAAACGCTTTCAAAATCTTTTCTTTCTTTTTAAATTACCTGCACTAGGGTATGCATACCTCCAGTGGCTTACTACACCTACCACAATGAGATTTGTTTCTTTTCAGAAATGTGCTTTAAAAATGTAATTTTTCAGGGCCTGTGGTTCCTCACCAGCGACTGCCCAAAAACAAAAAACTTCCTCTGTCTCAAATCATTCCACAGACGACAATAGTGCCCACACGCACGCTTGTGCACGCATATTTAAATAAGCTGCTCCATCACGTGCCTTTTTGGTAAAACTGCAGCAGCCAACTTTAGAAAGTACATGCAAGAAATAATACATCTACGATAGGGAAAAAAAAATACGTAAAACCCCAAGGCTAAAAGGCATGCTTTGTTGCACATATCAGCATAGATTAGGTAACCTAATTGTGGTGAGATAATACAAATTAAGGACTTGCAAAAGGGTGGTTTTCAGAAGTGACAACATCACTTTACTGAACTGCCAAAATGAAACGTCCACCCCCAATACACAATTCACACTGTCCTGTCCACGGCCTGTATTAAGACAGCCTAGACCCCCTCTTTGCTCAAGACGAATACATTCTGGTTGTAACCAGAAGCTGGCGAGGAGATCAATAAGCGGAGCCTGTCTTAAAAATAAAACGACGCATTAGAAATCCCGAGTAACCAGACGCGATACGCAGAACAGTCTTTTTATATGGTGATAGCATTGGGTTACCGTCTGTAACGCGAGACTGAGCCCCATATAACGACTGGAAAAATGATTAGGCTCATCCCGACTTTACAAACCAAAG